GAGCGGGATAATACGCAGAGCGTCACACCACGTGAAAGTGAAACCTGAGCGGTGAACTAATTTTCGGCAGCCGAAATTTCGGTGCATCTCTAATTATTGGCGACATCAGAAATGGATATTATATAATAGATGCTTTTTTGAACATTTTTGCAATTTAAAAATATAAAAAATATATTTTTTACACGGCACCCCTGCTCTCGACAGACGGCACCCCGGTTGGGAAACACTGATCTAGACCAACTAATACCCATAAATGACAAGCTTGGACCCACTTTAAGCCATGTAATACCAGCTACCACCTTAAGCTCATCTTCAGGGACTCCAATAACCATTTTCATGTTAAAGCCATAACAGGTTATACTATTTATCTATATACATACACTACTGTTAAAGGGGTGGTTGATTGCGATTTCACTTGTTTAACGTTAGTTAGTGTGTAATGTTGCTGTTTGAGCATAACGTTTTTAAAAAAACTAAGCATTAACACATGTTAGACTGCACCCCATAAACACAATCAAGCCTAGAAAAAAAACAGTGTTAAGTTAAGTGGCGCGAGGACGCGCCTTCCTGGAGGGGGAGGTAATGTTATACTTGTGTTCCTGTTTTGTTGTGTTTTTCTCCCCATGTGCTTCCCGTGACCCAGTTTCTCCCTCTCGTTTTGATTAGTCATTTGGTTCAGGTGTGTCCCGTTAATTACCCTCATTTGTCTATCTATGTATTTAAGCCCCAGTATGGTCAGTCTTTGATGTTCCGGTCACCGTTATGTTATGCTGTGTTTTCCCTCACCATTCTGCCCGTGTTCTAAGTTTGTTCATTAAACGAAGTGAGTTTGAACTGCACCTCCTGTCTTCGCCTTCCTTTTTTTTAAATGATTTTTTTATACTTGTAATAATACTTCACAATTTTACTGTTTTTACAGTTATCTTTTTTGACCAAATAAATGCAGCCTTGATCAGCATAAATTAATTCTTTCAAAAATAGTTTAAAAAATCTTACCGACCACAAACTTTCGAACCTTGAGTCTAAATACATAGTTGAAAAACATTAAAAACTAAAAGCAATCATTTTAAATTCTACATGTACATTTAGACATCACAACAATATGATATACAGTATGAAAAACAGTAGAACAGTAGCTTGAACAGTAGAGCACAGCACTAGCAACACCATGGTCATGGGAAAGCAAAAACTGATAAAAAATGTGTACCTTCAATGCAATGCAAGTCGCTAGGGATGCACCGATACCACTTTTTCCAGTACTCGCCCGATACCGATACCAGTATCGGTATCGGTGCATCCCTACAAGTCGCTTTAGATAAAAGTGTCTGCCAAATGCTTAAGTGTACATGTAAATTATATCTAATATCACCTAATAAAGGTCTTAACTGAGTTTCAGCAGGGAACTTCCAAAATTCCAAAGATCCAGACACTGAGAGCAAGTGGTCATTAATGGGTGTACATTTTTTTCTTCTTTAGCTCAATTATTTCTCCATCCTGATTACCTCATCCGCAGAGCTCCTCTTCTCCAGCAGTAGGCGGAAGGAGTTGGCAGTGATCTTATTGTCCAGCACTCCCTGACCTAAACCTCGATTATCATCCTGATTGAGCCTGCGGTCCATAATCACCTCCAGCTGACCTGTGGAATCCACACCAATGAGCTTCATTAGGATGTCACACATACTTCACCACAACACCCACTGATGCCTCCCATGGACATGCATAAATCATGTGCTCTACAGACCACGAGACCATAGAGCTTGCTGTTTGAGCACCAAACAAATAAATATTTTTTTTTATAAAACAACCACACAACATGCCTGAGTGAAGAAAGGCCACATCTATTCAAACAAAAATCTGAGAATAACAGTTCTGATGGTCATTGATGTGTCTAAATAGTAGGCTGTCAAATGATTTGCTTACGGTTTTGTAACTGTTGCAGCATTAGGTTGGCATGTGGTATTTATAATGAAGTGAGAGGGACATTCTCATTAAAAAGAGCATTTTATTTTTCAGAATGTCTCAGGATTTGGTTTGACTTTCATGACAGCAGCACTTAAGCTGTAAAATCTGTTGATCATGTTCTCCAGCATGATTTGAGAATGATCCAAAGAGCATCTCAGATGATATTAAAAATCTATACAATTTTATCTAAAAGAAATAAAAATACAACACACTTAAAACTAAAATCAATCGTTTTTTTTTTTTCCAGTGCCAAATCAATGCTGTAATGCTTAAGTGAATTTAGTCATGTAAAAGTTTGGGGTAGGTAAAAGATTTGTTTTTGAAAAAGTCTCTTATGCTCACCAAGGCCACATTTGTTTGATCAAAAAAGACAGTAAAACAGTAATATTGTAAAATGTTTAAAAATTTAAATATAACTGTTCTATTTTAATGTTTTAAAGTGGAATTTATTAATGTGATGGTAAAAGCTGAATTTTCAGCATCATTACTCCAGTCTTCAGTGTCACATGATCCTTCAGAAATCATTCTAATATGCTGATTTGCTGCTCATTTCTTCTCATTATCAATGTTAACATCCCAGATCAAAAAAAAAAGCACTCAGAAGTGATTTAAAACTGACCGCTCTTGAGGCTGGCCGCTCCGAGTGACTGTGCGGTGAGCAGAGAGAGTCTGCCGCTGGAGTCCTGCAGGTAGACCATGCTGGTCATGGGGTAGAAGTTTGCCTGCAGGGGGAGCTTAGCCATGGTTTTCCTGGGCTGCACCTGTAAAAACAGCCCAAGGCATTTTTAGCACTGCAGGGAGGAAAAACTCCAAATTCCCCCTGTTCAGAGCCCCGCGAACATTGAGTGTGGGCATGTGGAGGCACTTATCTGAAGGAAAAAACACTGTTAATTGATGAGCTTCGATGTGTGTGTGTGTGCATCACTGGATATTCCACTGTTTTTATTCATGAGGCATTTGTTTTGTGAAGTCAGTTAATTAGTTTGGACTGAAGAAAAGCACTTAATCCTGGCCAAGGCCAGAGAGACATCATCAGCTAATTAAATGCCATGCCAATACTCCAACATGTCAAAAAAACATGACAGAGTGATTTAAACTGACACTTGTTTGTTTTGGTCAGCCCTACAGCACACTCTAAACTCTTTTTTGATTAATTATTTGTCAAAAGAAATGAAAAACAAACTGACATTTTCATTATGCCATCCAAAAACAACTAGGCATTTTGACACTATCAACCGAAATCAAATGAGACTGTCAAAACAATCACTTCAAATAAATTAACTAACCTCTGATTACGCCTTTGTTGATTAGTGTTACTTTTCAGTAAACTGAATTAGTCCAGCTAGCCGCCTATTTCCGCACCTTCAGATCATATATTTAATTTCAACTCTGACAACAACACATTTCATTTTCATCTTTATTCAGGGACTGATGAAAATTTGGTTCCATCACACTTGATGTGTGTGATCAGCAGTGGTGGAAATGGCCAAAATTCACTGGGGGGACTCTAGCTGTCACGGTACGCTACTGTGAGGAGCACGGAGACGAAGGAGCGAGGAGACGAGGAGCCTGGTCACTTCATGTGTTTTGTCTGATCCGATAGCTATCCGATCGTGAAAAGACCAGGTGTAAATGCCCTCCGAAATGCATTCGAGACGGATATAAATTCGATCGCTCAAACCACTTCAGGAGGTGGTCTGGGCCGCATTCCAGACAAAACTCGACAAGTGTAAATGCATCTGGTTATTGAAACCACATATGTAAATGTTACTCCTCCCAAAATGTTAAAATAATAAACGTGAGAGCGTGTTATAGGCTATATGACATTAGTCAGACTGCGCTAGTGCAACACGCATCGCTGCGGACGAGTAGCTGAGTATCAGCAAGCCGACGCGCATTTATATCCGTTTTGCGACGACACATTTATGTGGCCAAGTGTAAATGGAAACGTTTTAACAAATTAGATAGATATCTGATCAGCGAAAACGCATGAAATGACCAGGTGTAAACAGGCCCATAGATTTTAATCAGCTCCAGGGAACAAGGAAAACACACGTAGCAAGGGTAGACATATACAATTCCGGACAAGAGAGAACAGAACGGGCTAGAACTCGAGGGGCAGACAGGTGAGGAGGATAACGCTCTCGGTTACTCACGTAACCTCGGTTCCCTGAGACGAGGGAACGAGACATTGCTCTTATTGTCGCCTAGCTCAGGATCTTAAAATGCCAAGTTGCTTCAGTCAAGATTCTGAATGGATGACGTACAAGCGCTGCTTTAT